GGGGTTTTGCGAAACTTTTTTTACAAAAAAAACATTTTTTTTTTTTTTTTTTTTTTAAGGGGTTTCCAAAGGGCACCCCCCGGGAAAAATTTTGGGCCCCCCCCGGGGGGTTTCGGGGCCCCCCCTTTTTTTTGGGGGGGGGGAGATTCCCCTTTTAATTTTTTTCCCCCCCCCCCCCCCCCCCGAGGGTCAATGGTCAAAGGATTACGGCATGCAGGATTAGGAGTCCCCCCCCCCCCCCCCTGGTTCCCAAGTAATTTACCACCAGCACGTCGATACCGTATTTTCCTTTCCAATCCTCCTCGAAATAGGCCAGTGGAGGTGACGCTTCACCAGGTAACTGCAACAACCGGATGTGATGAAGGCACAGGCAGCAGTTTTTCCTCGGATTCGAGATTGCTGTCCTTCGCGTGGTCCACCCTCAAATCTCAAATGACTGAGGAACCACGTCGGCACTCACCTGTCCTTGCACACACACACACACACCGTTTTTCGCTCGCCGTTGTGTGCCCCCCGAAAATAGTTTGTTGAACAAGGCGGGGAGATTGAGGCGGGCGTCGGAGAAATTCCCGTCAACATGACGGTGATCAGGGCTACCATCGGCCCCGGAGAAAGCAGCGCCTGGGCGGGAAAGTCGCTCGACAACTGGAAGGTGTGTTCTGTTGTGCTGTTGTGTTGTACGGTACGCTTGTTTTTGGCAACCGAGAACAAGACGTCGGCGCTGACCCATCTAGTGGGTTGGTTTCGGTTGCCGAAAGTGGAAGTGCACGGATGGCCCGATACTTTTTTTCCTTTTGAGGAGGATTGGCTCCCCTCTCGCCAGTTGTGAACGGTAACTTGAGGTCTTCCGGGTGTGACTCCGGGACGTTCCGTTAGCCTACGGGACAGCGGTTAGGGTGCGGGTTCTGTGTTTGGTGGCGTTCGATTTTTGTCTTGTTTTCAGGTATGATATGAAGGGATAGGTTGTTTGGCTCAGGTTCTCGGACGGCTTTGTTGGTTGCCGTGAATGGGCGCGTGCACGCGCGCGCACGTACCTGCCTGTTTGGTTTTGTCCGCTTGGTCGATCTGCCGGTGTGATATCCCAGATCTCACATGCATTGGTACTGAGTGTACGGCGATATCCCACTTGCCGTGCTTGCAGCAGCTTTCGGAAGTCTCCACCCCAAGTGGGGACTTGAACAGCCCCATCGAAGAAAGATAGCTGGATCCAACGACCTTGACTTGCCGGACTGACACAGTTTGGGCTGGAGCCGCGATGGCGTGGTTTCTTGAATCGTCGCCTTTCTATCCTAACATGATGCCTTCCACCCGCACCGCCCGGCCACCCCAGGGGCTTGAACCACTCACGGTCGAGCGAGAGGGCGTGCGAGAGCGACTGTTGGGCAGCGGGACGGCGGACGCTCCTTTAGAGCTCGAGGAGGAGGAGGGCCACCTCCTCCGCTCGCCAGGACTTGCGGGCGTTAAGAACGGGAGAGAGAGGCACAGGCTGTACGACCTGAACGGCGCCATGCCCCCTAAGGAGAGGCCGGTCGCTGCCGCCGCGCGTGCCAACGGGGACCGATCCAAAGAACGTCCATCCCCCAATAGGGACCGATTCAAAGAACGTTCCTTCCCCAACAGGAACCGATCCAAAGAACTTCCCTCTCCTAGCGGGGACCGATCCAAAGACCGTTCCTCTCCCAACGGGGACCGATCCAAAGAACGTTCCTCCCTCGCCGCCGGGAAGGAAGGGTCGAGGAAAGAGGGAGGGAACGAGAAGACCTCTCCTGCTGGAAAGGCCGGCGGTGGCGGTGGCGGTGGCGGGTCGGTGGCGGCAGCAAATGCCGTGGTGGAAGAGATTGACGTGCTGGTCGCCGAGCGTATCAGGAGCATGAGAGCGGTGGACGTGGACCTAGCCGCCGCGGAACGCCCGACCCCCAAGAAGCCGACAAAGACTTCGGCATCGTCGCCACCACCACCACCACCGAAGGCCGCCGCGTCCAACCACGAGAAGCCGGCCGCCAAGAAGGGCGGCGATGGTGGCGCAGACAGGCCCAAGGACAAGGCCAGAGGAACGGCTGCGGCTACCCCCACGAAGCGGTACAGGATCTCGTCCAGCAGTAATCTCCCGCCGGGCTGGGAAATCATTCGCAGCAAGCAGCCTGAGAAGAACGTGAGTTTTGTAGGCGGTCGATGCAGAGAGGCGTTACGGGTGAGGGGGGCTGGGGGATCCGTGGGTTGTGAGGGGCGAGGGTTGGTGCTACCTTGTCGACCATGGAAGGCTGCTTGATGCCGTTGCTATCTTGCCCTCCCCCTCCACGGCAAGTAGAATGGTTGTTGTTCTCGAAAGGGATTTTCTAGGATCTCGTGCTGTAACCGATGTCACTCGATTATGCGCTTGTTATTTCCGTGTGAGTCACATGAACTGTTCCGTTGTGATTGGATATACTAATAGGAGTATCACCCACAGTACCCCTTGGTACTACTATTACAGCAGAAGTTGCCTTGCTACTTTCGTTTTCCGTTTTGGTACACTCGATTGCGCTCAACCCGAAAAATGTGTCAGTCGGTCAGTGCGTAGCGAAGGAAGTCATCTGAGAACGGCCATTTTGTTTTCAGCGGAGCTGGATAACTACGCTGAAGGCGTGCGATGAGAACGGCCGTGTTGCCCATTTTTTGTTAATGTTAATAATATCTCCTCCCGTTACCCCCTCTAAAATAGACCGCTGCGTTCAGCAGCAGTTGTATCGACCTTTGAGTCCATCTGTCACGACCGCTGCTGTGCCTTACACGTCAATCTTTGTTCCTCGTACCCCACAGCTCATGTCCTCCCCCCCCCCCCCCCCCCCGTCACGATGCGTGGGGGCACCGCAAAACAGAACGGATACGCGTGCCGGTGGTACGTCTATAAGTACGGCAAAGGGAGCAACCTGCCGAACTTGAAGTTCAAGAACCTCCGCGACGTGGAAGACTTCGTCCACTCCGACCTTCCAGGGGCTAAGATCCACCGCAGGGCGATGGAGAAGAGGAAGCGCCAGACGGAAGCATCGATGCACTGTGCCGAGTGGAGGGCGAAGAGGAAGATGCTGGAGGAGTCGATGGGGCAGCCGCAAGAGCAGGAGCAGCAGCTGCACGCGAAGGAGATGTTGACGCACTCATCGGGGGGTCCCGTGGATGGCGGGGGGGGTGGCACCGAGAAGAAGAAGAAAAAGAAGAAGAAAGAAAAAAGGAAGGACAAGGGCAAAGGGAAGGGTCGGGAGGAGAAGAAGGAGCAGGAGGAGGAGGAGGAGGAGGTGACGGTTGTTGACCCCCCCGGGCAGGTGGCCAAGCAGGGGGGGGAGGAAGGTTCTCGGGAGCCTACTGAGGCGCCGGCAGCGGTGGCGCCGGCGGCGGAAGGCGACCACAAGGCCGAGGAAGTCCACCGGCCAGACAAGCCGGCAGTGCCGGCGGTGACGGTGGAGGCAGAGGAGGCTGCCGCCGGTGATGAGGGTCAGGAGAGCAAGAAGGCGAAGAAGAAGAAGAAGAAGAAGAAGCACGAGAGCATCGCCAGGAAGCTCCAGGATTGCCTCGCTCCGGGCCGCAAGGAGGAGGGCCACCACGCCTCCAAGGGCAGGCGCGGTCGGGACGACGACAAGCGAGAGGCGAAGCGCGAAGCCAGGCGTGCCGCCGCGGAGGCCTCCAAGCCGGGCTCGCGCGGACACTCGATCGGCTCCAAGAACATCGGCGCGGGAGGGGCAGCATCATCCGGTGGGGAGGCAGCCGTCAACGGCGGCAAGAAGCGGGGGGCGCCCGGAGGAGATGGGTCGCGGAAGAAACGCAAGAAGGGGCAGAGCGTCCAAGAGGAGCTAGACGAAGTCGCGCAGAGGGAGATGGAGGAGATCGTGGGGGCCTACTCCAACAAGCAGGCCCGCAAGGAGCTACTTGCGAAGCTTCGAGAGCAGGCGCAGCTCGAGGCCCGTGCCCGGCGGAGGGAGGGGACAGAAGGAGCGGGTTTGGACGGTGGCGAAGGGAAGGCGAACGGCGGGGTGGACGGGAAGAGCGGCGACAGCGAGGAGGCTGACGACGTGACGGCGGCGGCGGCGGCAGCGGTGACAGCGGCGGCAGCGGTGACGGCGGCGCGGAAAGCTCTGGGAGGCGAGCTGTCTCGCGCTGGGAAGCCGGCCAACAGTAGTGCCGCCGAGGTTAACCACGAGCGCCACCGGGGGGATGAGGAGGTGGACGAGAACGAAAAGAAGCAGCATCGGAAGGGAAAGAAGGAGAAAAGAAGGGCCGCCGAGGAGGAAGAGCGCCGCCGTTCTTCTCCGCGCGTGGCCGAGCTTACCTTCCGGGAAGACTCCCACGATGGAAGTAGCGGCAGCGGCAGCGGCGGCGGGAAAAAGAAAAGGAAGGCGGGTTCTCTCCCCTCTGCCGGAAGCAGCAAGAGGCACTCGGTCGGTGGGGGCAAGAGGGACGACGATAACCGCCGGCAGTCGAGCCGGGCGGCATCTGCTGTGGCGACGGCGGCGTTGAGTGGGAGGCTCTACCTGTAGCCTATCTACCGGTATTTATTTACTTATATTCGCGGCCGTTTTACCGCCATGTTGGCTCGCGCGGTTTTTGGGGAATGGTTGTTCAGACAATAGTGAACGGTGCAGGTTGAGCCTTCATACTGTGCTCTCGCTGCGTCGACAGGGAAGGCAGCTGTTTTTGTAAGGAACTGGCTAGAGGAGAAGGAGCAGGTGCATGTTGCTGCCGTTGGTGTTGTACCAGTGGGTGATTGCTGTTGGTTGCAGGCCAGCAGGTCGAGGGAGGTTTGTTCTAAATAGTGTTTCCGGGTATATACCGTAGGTGACGCAAGATGTTACACCCCCTGCGCTGATTTCCAAAGCTCGATTACTCCACGATGAAGAGGAAAACGATATGTTTTCGAAAATCTCTCGACGAGACGCCGCCTGTTGCCACTCTGGAGAAATCGAGCTTGGAAAATCGGTGCAGGGAGTGTGGTGCCTTGTGTTTCCTACGGTAGGCACGTGTGCACGGAGTGCGGCGGGTCTTAATACGGCAGTTCTATACGTTCACATTTCGTCTTTTACACTAGCATGGAGTGTACAGCAAGTGCTTAGCACAATGGCCTCCCTTGGAGATGGGGGGTAGGGTTTCAATGAACGCGTGTACAGTGTCTCGACTACTGAAGTATTTATTAATTGGCGTTCCTTTGTCGAAGGCGTCAGGCAGGAAACACCTCGAGTCAGGCCGTGGCCATCGTCTGCCCGGCCCCTCTGCGATGCAGTGTTTTCGTTTGTGTTGTGTGTATGTTGAGGGCTGATATTTTTGTTGGCCCCGTTTGGCAGATGGTTTAATCACGGGACGTTGTTCCAGCGGGGTTATTTTGTTATTTTGACTTCGCCGACTTATTTTGCGTGCGATATGAGATACTTGGTGTCCGGTTCACGTTGAAGACGATGCTGTTTTCGTCCCTCCTACAGCAGTGTTCTGGGCGCCAGTCTACACTCCTTTTTTTTTTGGTACGTGTTTAGTGCACCAACCAGAACGGGTAACACGGGAAGTGTTTTGGTTTTCTGTCATATGGCGGTGCTGGCCTTCACGTCGCGTGGAGAGGGTAGCGGGGCCTTCGATGGCTCTTTTCACTCTCTCTCTCTCTCTCTCTCTCTCTCTCTCTCTCTCTCTCTCTCTCTCTCCTGATGGTGCAAGAAGGCTAGTCTAAGCAAACAGTTTTAGTTATCCCCGCGAATGAGTTGTACAGTTCGTTCGTACGGGGATGTCATGTGTTCGGGAGGGAGGATGCGGTATTCTTACATTGTACCTGGAACAGTAGGCATGAACTCAGGCTCTATTTGCGGTCAATTCTGTCTAATATTTCGTTACCGATCCACCCGAGTCCAAGTCTTGTGGTTGACCCAGGCGATGCAAAACTGTTTGACCTTTGAATGACACGGTGATAGTTGTAGGTTGGTTGTCGTTCTACACGAAAATCGCCATGCAGTATTTGTTACTTGTGTTTATTTTGAAGGTTTGTTGTGCAAAATGGAGGCAATGCACAAGGCGAAGTCATGGTGGATTGCCGGTATTTGGATCAACCGACGAGGGCACATGAACGGGAAGATGGTAACGAAAAGTCTGTTCCGCTCATTTCGTTGTTCACGTACGAACATGGATGAGGGAGCCGGATCACACGAAATAGGCTGGGCAAAGAGAATCCGTGGATAACCTTCGTGGACCACTCCATCACCTAGCCACAAAGTTGAAGCGGTGACTTGAGTGGTCCAAGGGACTATGCCCCCAAACAAAAAGGTATTGATCGTGTGCTATCGGATCAATCTGTTCCGCGAAAACATGTCGAAATTCCGGCTCCACTGCTGTATTAGGTTGTGGATTCGAATCTCTCCGGCCTCCGGAATGAAGAACAAGTCTCGCATGCACAGACGTCACTTGCCGGGGGTCATTTCTGACGGGCATGGACACCCTCGTGGCATTAGTTGTCGAACAGTTGAACTTTGAAACTCGGGGCCTAGATAACAATATCAGTCTATGCCTAGATCATATCTTGATATGTTGAATCTATGCCCATTTAAAACCAAAAACCAAGCCTCTATGCAATTGTTGCTCGGTTTAGACGACAGGCCACATTCATTCGCTGATTCGCCTTTGATAAAAATAAATTCAGATATTTCTTGCATCCAGCGGGTGTCACGCAACCTTCATATCCACAACTACGACATGATGTTGGTATCTGCAGATACATGTTGATGTACAGATTAGCTGGCACCGATGCACACCGGTGGTGGTGTGGTGGTCGATTGGGGGTAGGCGGAAGAACTTTTTTCGCGGCGCAATATGTGCCGGTTCGACAGGAGAACCAAGTCTCTATATGTTCTTCTCCAGTTGCCTGAAAATGATGGGTTGCAAGTTTGCCCAAGGGCCTCCGTACGGGAAGTCTTCTTCGCAGATCACACCAAAAGCAGGAAGATTCTACGTACGCGCTTACCGTGTGCACATTTTAATAGCGCTTCCCCACGTAGGGCAGTGTTTCATACCCTGCGTTTCTGTTGGAAGGCCAGTCGCGCACGGGAGATAAAGAAGATACCATGTCATCGTCGAAAGCGGATGAGGTCGTCTGGCAGGACAGGGAGGTAAGGTTCGACTCCACGCCGGCCGAGATGCAGTGCCGGAAGGGAGAGGTGGTTATCGACTCCATCAACTCCGTGGAGGATACCAAAGGCAACAACGGGGAAAGAGGTGTGTGTGTGTGTGTGTGTTGGGTGCAATCTGATCGTGCATTGATGATGCTCGCGAACCACCGCGAAGGTCGGTGGGCATGGCCTGATCTGCGACAACGCAACACATTGTCGACAACAGCATGGACTGAAGCACTCTTCCTTATTGGTTGATTGCTTAATTGTGTCATTTGGTTGTTGTTTTTCGTCTTCGTCGCATCTACTCTGGGCGCCACTCATTACAACACCTAGACTATATCTTTCGGTAGCCATTTTGTACGCACCAGCCCGGGTCACACAGGAAAGGTCTGGAGTTTTTTCTCCACCGTGCAGTGCGTTCCTTCATCCGATAGTGCGCTAAGGATTCATCAGCTGTTCCTCCCCTCTTCTTTTTTTACCCGCGCCTTAGCGCTTTCCACTTCTAGGTTAAAAAGCTCACCGTGAACACGCACGCACGTAGTATTCACAACCGTAAGCAAGTACCCTAAACCAACCATTGGGGAGGGTGACTCGCCATGATATTCGGGGGTATCTACAATGAAGGTGTGATATGGAACAGCAAATTCTACTGTACCTACCTGTACTTCTTCTCAACACGGCGGTCCTTGTCGATCTTGTATCCGGCAGGTTCGCTCGTGGTGACGAACTTGCGAGTGCTGTGGATCTCGCACAAGATTTCCCGCGTCAACCTCAGTGAGTCCCCCGTCCCGCCAGGACTATGTTGTTGCTTCCGAAATCTTACCAGTATAAAATAAAGCTACACCCGGAACGGCCACGCTTGGCAAACGTTTAAGGCTCAACCTGCTTGCTACATATAGCTCTGTTCAGCATCCAGAATGAAGCTGCGTGGAGCACGTCATAGAGTAGGTACCAGGGCGTCGTTGCACAACAATACCAGAATTTTGGCATTCATACGGTACGGAACGCGTTCAATACTCTCGTTCAGGTGATGGATGTGACATTTACGTTGAACAGGTATTGGGTTCAGCACCGTCTTGAACATCTCCATCCGAAAAGCAAGGTCTCGCCTGAGGGGTATCACCCAGGCCCTCTGTATCACGTCCAAGTACAACCAATCCCGCTTCGAGTTCGTTTTCACCAGCCTCGTCAAGAACTCGCCCCGGCTTTTCACCACCGTGCAAGCCGTACTCAGGTGCGGCATTCTCAAGTCTTTCAATACACAGCTTTCTCATAGAAGAGCTAGCTGCAGAAGACCTTATCTACGTGGTAACCCTCCCCCCCACAGGGCGATTTTCAGCCGGACGTCCCTTTCACAGCGCCAAGAGCACCGACGGCGAGGGATAGATAGATCTCTCGTGAGGAATAGGAAAACGCCAAGGCCGGCATGTTTACTCAACTTTAAGCATCGTGTCCCACCTTTGTTTTGCCAGCTTTCGACCTATTGTTGATGTTGTTAATATCCTGACTGTTTTACAGGGCGTACGAGACGTCGACACTCTACCGCGATTTGAAGCTTCGAGGGTCGATCATAAAGGGCAAGCAGCTCCTCACGCTCCCGCTGGAGCAGATATACAGCAAGGTGTGCCGGCAGAGTCGATAAAGGAGGCTTAGAAGCTGGCACCAAGGATATTTCGGGTTTAGAATTTCGAGTCAAAATATCGCACGCACGTGGCCATCACCAAACGTTAGACACGTGCAGCCGAACTCTACTGCGAACGATGCCTGAGGCCGCATCATTTGGCTTAAATTGGTTGAACCATAGCCAAGTTACTTAATTCATGCGTTGGCTTCAGCCATGTACAAATGATATGCTAACTACTACCCCATTGAGACGAGGGGGGGAGCACCGGCAGAAGTACTATTTTGGGAGTTGTTACGTGCACGCTCGCTTTTTTCCTGCAGCGGCCTTTCTTTCCCATGAGCTCTCTCCTTTGGCCGGGTCAGTCACACAGGATACAGAGGAGACACAGGAGAGACTCCCCTTCCCCGATCGATCCCGAACGACCGCCCACTGTTTCCCTTGAGACATACCACGAGGACAACGACTGGAGTTAGGAATAGGGTTGTTAGCCAACCATTTCGTCCCTCCTTCGCCTAAGACCACGGACAGTCAATCTGTGTAATAAGTGCGCTCGGAAACATGCATGATTTGCTCTGCCTTGCCTCGCGTATCCTCCTAGGTTTTCGGAGCAAACCTACAGTATCAATCTTTAATATACGTACCACCTGATGACTGGTCGGAGAAGTTTGGCGTTAACCAGGCATCAATGTCAGTGCTGTAAGCGTTCAGGCGCGAAAGAAACACGCATCAGGTACAGGATAGGGCATGTGTGTTGTGTTTCAGGTGCTTCGATTCTTACCTGGCAAACGCCTCGGCGTTGTTATGTTTGTGTTTTGACGACAGATCGAGGGTGTGTGGAACCTCTCCTCGGACCAGGGCAACCTCGGCTGCTTCTTCCTGACCAACGTTCGCCTCGTGTGGCACGCCAACCTCGCCCAGAACTTCAACGTCTCTATTCCTTACATGCAGATGGTGAGAATAAGAAGGAGGGAATGTGTGTGTGTGTGTGTGAGAGAGAGAGAGAGAGAGAGAGAGAGAGAGAGAGAGAGAGAGAGAGAGAGAGAGAGAGAATTGAGGCGTGGCCGTCACCTTCGCAAACAACGGTGTTCGTTCATTAAAAACCGCGACGAAGCACGACGGCTTGGCTTGTTACTGTCCACTAAATAGGAAAACCCAGCCAGAAGAGAGCGCGGAGCTCGCAGCCTGAGGAAAGCGAGCTAACAGCATCGTCGGGTGGTTGTTCTACTCTTGGGGCAAGTTATTTCTTCTCACCTACTTCTATTCACTTTTCCGCGTGCTCGTGCCAAGGAGACCACGATGTGACTAGCTGTGCGCCGAGCAGGAGCGCACTGTACGTGTACACGGATGAGTGATACCGACCCCATAGCGTACCACCACTGCGGCATTGTTTGTTGCCTCCGCGTTATTGAACAAAAACGATTCGCAGAAGACGATCCGGGTTCGAGAATCGAAGTTCGGCCCCGCTTTGGTAGTGGAGACTAGCGTCCACTCAGGGGGCTATATTTTAGGTGAGCGGGTGAGAGACGTCAAAAACGAACAGCATCGCATGCCTGGAAAACCAATGAAACCTGTGCCACAGTCCCATGTTTGTGTGTTATCAACGGCCACTAAATGATGGATGCTGGTAGCCAAATATGGATGCCCTTGAAAGGACGGTGACCGGTTTCCATTCCCTCTTGTTATAGAGAGTAAATAGGGCTGAGCTCCGACTATTGGCACAATTTGTGACAACTCCACCATCAAACGGTGTCCTTGAGATGTGTTCATGTAGACGCCACCTCACCGTGAAGAAAACTCATCATGAAACCTAGAGCACTCGTATTTGTGTGGATGTCAGGGCATGTTGACGCAAACATGGAGGGCAAAATGTCAACTTTGATACCACGCACACCGCTATCCACGTGTACACTGTAACCATTGCAGTCCCCAACACGGCTTGCTTGAGTGCAAGTAGCGTCGCCGTGACGTGAGTTTTAGACCCGGTAGCCAGCGTGCCTCTTTTTCTCTAGTCTACCAAGTTCAGCCAGACGCCCATTCCGATCAATCACGAATGCTTCGCTTGAATTCAGGGTTCCGATTGGATCCGGCGGACCAGCTGGAACGGGTGCACCAGGAGCTGTCCTCGTTACACCAGGTGCACGCGGCCGATCCTATCTTGGGGGTCGACTTCGAAGAGGAGGACAGCGTGAGTTTTGGGAGGAAGGCTTCTGTACTCGGCATTGATCAAATTTGACGGAGCAACGAAAACAATGAACAACGGTAAATATTGTTAATGTTGTTGTGGTGGTGGCGGTGGTCGTCGTCGTCTTTGTCGTCATCGTCGTTTTTGTTGCTTGTGCTTGTGCGTGTACTTCCACCTTCGGTCCAGCCCCCACAAACAAACGTTGAGCGGAAAACACACACACATACATACATTTCGACAGTCAGCTCTCGTAGTACAGATAGTGTTTAACAACCGAGACCACATACACTTTCGAGCTTGCTGTCAAACCAATCCAACGCCATTCGTGTCGTCTATCGTTCAATGGCAGCCTCCAGCGATGGAGTCGCGAACGGTGGCCGTGACGGACGATGACGTGGAGGTGCTCGATACGGACGAAGCAGGGACAGACGCGTTCGCGGCTTATTTCGCAGAGGCGAACAAGGCCTGCGATAGAGAGGTAGACTACAGGAACAACAATGTTCACTTGGACTCAGGAACAAGAGCGGATTCTAATGTGCTCTATAGTAGGGAGGGGACTATGTTTGAATCTCGGCAAACATATTTCTCCACATAAAATAACTTCCTCTGGTACAATATGTACATTTAGTCTGCAGTTTTAGTCTAGATAGTGTACGAGTGCGTGCCTGCTTCCCCAGGAAACGCAACGAAAGTCTCTACAACAGCCCACGTTGACTCAGCTCGTTCGCGCCCGCTTGTCTTCTTTTGTCCTTCGCAGGTTGTGTTCGACGCGGAGCTGGGTCTGGCGGTGGAGAGCCTGCCAGGAGGGGCCTCCACACAAAGCTTGTGGAAACTAGTCTAATCTAGGTTACGTTGTTGTTCGCTGCTTGGTTGATGACGAGAAACACATGTCTTCTATTGTATCTACACGTCGTGAGTCTTGTTGGCGGATTGGTCTGCGTGAACCTTCCCAAGTTGCTCATGATCTGGGGGGTGTTTCGGCTGATTCTGTCTTGGCACCGTACCAAATCCGGCCTACAGCATATGGCCGACATATATTCCATCATCTCAGCGGCGTGCTTAGGGAATATTTCTTCCCCTTGTCTTGCTCCCCGCCGCGTTTCGTTTTATATGTACGAATCTTCCCATGAAACAACGTGACGTCATCGTTGAACCAGGTGGTACACAACAACGATGTTGTGGTCTTCGGGACTCCTCTGCTGACCCTACGAGTAGGCGACGCTCCTTATTACAACCGGTACTAAAGATGCTGCGTGGTGGTGTAGATTTGGCGGACCAAACTACCGTAATATTCGCAAATTGCTGCAGGTGCTCCTACGACAAAGTTGTAGGCGTAAGATGAGCACGGCAAACAAACATGGTGATGGAATCGCTCGACGTACAAGTCGAATCATCCCCTTAACCTTTTCTCGTCTAGGAACGAACGAACGAACGAACACACCAAGGCCTCGGGGGCGAAACGTTGGGTGTGCGCGTTTCGACGTTCATTTGATGATGCAGTCAACAGAAGCAGTCCGATCACAAGTAGACTGACTGATGCAGGATGGCTTCCTACTATGCATAGAGAGGGTTGCTGTGTTGATGCGCCACTAATGCGTCGGAGGGCCACGACCCTACTTCTAGTTGCGAGACCCAGACGTGAGCCACACCGTCCGGCAGTCATGCACTGCCCTCGTGAACGAACGGAACACGTCTGTTGTTGTATGCCACTCGGGTCAACTCAAGGACGTAAGTGTGCACGTGATCCCAGTTCTCAAAGGTCATTCTTGGCCCGCCCTTGAGCCGCATGCCCAGAGACTACTCCGACTACCAAGAAGGCCAGGAGAACCAAAACACCCCAAAGAGCAAATAAATAGCAGTAGGAGCGAGGGTGACGGTGTTTGGCTCGCTCGTTCAAGAACCCCCTATTGATACCCCTGTTGATAGCGCCGTCTGAGATGGGGATATCGATCGCAACCGAGGCATCAACCAGACCAGCCTTCCGCTGCCGGAGTGTTTATACAATACAGCTTTCGAGAAAATGTGCCTGAAATTTCGCAAGACCGAACGTCAAACGTGGTAACCTAACGGCACTAGATGAATTTCTTAACCTTGGCTCCCCGGCGTCCTCCTGCTCCCCCTTTCCTCCTGCGCAAAAACCATACAAGGTCCGGATTGTCGGGTTTACCCTCTTGACCGCGCACCGCCTTTTCACTTGATTGAGAACCGAGAAAACTTTGACGTGAAGGACCGATCAGAAACAAAAAAGGCGGGACCAGATTGAATTCCACCACAGAAGACTCCCCCGTACATGCGCGCGAACGAATATCTGACAGAAAAAAAAGCAAGGTTTCTTCTGGTAAGCCGAAAAACTCTCCCCCCTCCGATCCACAAAAACTTGACCAAGAAACATGCCCGGTCTCGCCGATGTCTTACCTTGCTCAAGCATTCTTCGGCAAGAAATTCCAGGAGCTACAGTACAGCCTCGGCCTCATCGTACATCTCGCCATTGCTCAGTCCGAGCGCGACCACTACAGCTGCAGCAGTGTCGACGAAAAACACCCCCCCCCTTTCCC